TCACTCAACTTGTGAGACGGTTTGTGCAAATAATCGTTTTTGCACAAAACCCTGTAAATGATGTTCAGGCACACACACACACCTACGCAACGGCAACTTTATGGACAATTGGACGCGCGCCATTCGACTTCAAACTGCCTAGTATTCCTTGCCAAGGCACACACTGAGCAAGACACATTCAAATAGAGACGTAAAACAACATCTACACACGTGACCTGCAAACGGTTCGGGCTGTTAGGTAAAGACAACTTGGTTGCTATGGCCTTTGTTGGAGGTGTAACCTGGTCGTAAAACAAGCCAGAGTGCATTAAATTGGACGAGCACGGTTGTCTGTGCGTCAGAAGTGTTAACGACAATGTGGGTGAAGTAAGGATGCACGAACAATTTTTGTCGCTCTTCACCGTTATTATTCATCTGGCACGTCTACCTGTCCACCGAACAGCAAACACAATGCCCAGTGGCCAAATTATTAAGTAATTCCTGAACCACTCTACAAATCAGTAGATAAAATCCAAGACCTACTAAAGTTTTCTGTGGGAAGCGTGATGAGGGAGTGCTCAGAAGACAGACGTACGGAGACAAATGTCATTTGATTTCAGTGGCGAACAGTTTCAGTGTCGACAAAATACACTATGAATTCCGGAATAGTTTCCAACAAGCAGATCTCAACCGTCCTGCCATTACAGTGAATCATCCGACCATCTAACATTTCCGAACGGCTACCTACGGTCTACCTTCGATGAGTACAGTTATTCCGCGGTTCTCCTAGATCATCCCTAATCATCTAAGTACTTACGCTTAGTTGACCAAAAGTCACTAAGTTTGGTCACCTTTAGATGCAAAATGATGTAAAAAGCGACCTCGTCGAAATCCTCCGCAATCAATCAAACACCGAGTTGTCGATTCCAAGGTCAAATTGTGTGTGCTGAATGTAAATTAATCGTGGGATGGGAAGACAAGGAAACCTCTCGATGAAGTGAATCATCATAGGCATATAGATAGGTGGGTTTGCACATCTGTGAATTATATTGGTAATATAGGACTGGATAAAGCCTACCATGCTCTGTGGTAAAATCTTCATACTGCGGGAAAGTTTGAAAACACAATGTTGCAGTTCTCTCGCTTTAGCACTGAAGCACAGAAGCTTGGCAATCTGAAAAGATAGTATACTCGCTATCTTACGATTCTCAACGTGTAAAATATGTGGAAAGTGGAACTAACCTTGGATTTCACAGTGCTTCATCCGGAAAAGCTACCTAACCCCAAAAGTCTGGATTTCCTAGCTTCGCTAGTCATCATTTCCAGCTTTACGTTCACAGTCAGCAAGCCACCATATACAAAGTCCGAATAGTTAGGTCTTCTTCCAGCACATAGTACTACTGCTCAGCCTCCAGAGTACGAAAATTAAATCAGTCACCCAATAAGTTCAAGCAGTTGCAATAAAACCATCCTGCTCTTCACGTTCATTTGTCCAGTATCCATCCTCACCACCAGCAGGATAACATCAGTGTACGAGAATGATACTTCGCTACATGGAAGATTCCGCTGAGTTGCAGCTGGTTCTATCGTCAAAACTCGGTTTGCAAATGAATGTCTCACGAATGTCATACAGTTTGGGTTCAAGTAGGACATAAGGATGAGCGAAACGCGGTGATTGCGCCTATCTGATTAGCTTCAAGAAGGACAAAACCACTCACGGGATTTCGAAGAGTTTTCTGCAACCTTATACGTTATTGCATTAAAGTGAAATTCTCCTATTGGATTTACCCAGCCAATAGTGGATGTGACATCAGTATCGATAATTTCTTTTGGCTGATCTCTCAAAGGGTTGGATTTTTACAACCAGTAGGGTAGGAGTAAGTTGAATCACTGAATAAAGTGTTGCGCGATAGGGTGATGTCCGTTTCACAAGAAAAAATCCACGATAAGTAGGAATGTGAGGCATATAGGCTCACCGTCTCAAGAAAGCCCAGCGGTTGTTACACTGACTTCTTGTATTGGCTCTTGTTTGCGATTTTTGCCGTCGCCAATGTGTCTAAACAACAAACCTCTCACCACCTCTTGAAAAAAACCTTTTTACAGAGTGAAGGTGTCCCTGACAGATGTATCTGGACTTCAATTTTTTCAAGGCTAACGATAGGTGGCTAGGTTTTTTTTCACCAAGTTTCATGTAAACCATGTACATTTTAAACTGGTTGGCAATCAAACTCAACAGGTGAAACAAATTCGGATATAAGCCAAATCAGATCGTTTCCTTGTGAGTCCACACAAGCTGACAATTCTTCACCTAACTATTACCAATCTAAAGTACCAGATGGCTCAATGGTTACAGCAAGAATGTACGGATCGGAAAGTCCGTGGCTTGAACCTGGCCTCTATACGTCGACTTCCCTTAACTTTGCTTGAGCAATCTGGCGGTATCCCATCCCTCGTGCTTCATTCTGGAGGCATGGCAGCTAGACACCTAAAGGGTGTTACAACCGAACGATTTTTATTATTATTTATTATTCTTATATATACACATTATATATCTATTATCTAATCCCGAGGCTCTGGGTGAACCGAAATTTTAACTGTTTTTAAACCCAGCACAATCAAGATATTACTTAACAGTGCTAACCTGACCAAGTGTGTTTCCACACGTAGTACAGCACTGATCACCTCATTAAGGCAACAAGGGTAGGCACAATCATCGAAGCAGATTATTGATTTCGTTGAGCATTGTGTGAAGTTCTTAACTAGTGTCCTAGCAGTGACATGTGTGGATCGATTTCAAGAATGATATGCATTCCTACTGAACTGCCAACAAGTGCTTATTTGATTGATTTAGGTGTGTCCGCACGTCAACAGCCAACAGTCTCTTGAATAAAGCTTATTACGATTCGTTGTAAGTATGAGTCCGATGAGAAACCTACAAATCTCGTCAGCCCATGTTTTGGTATGAACAAGTTCTTTTCCAGAGAGAAGTAAAATTCATTTTTAGATCTGGTGCATTAGGAATACACTGACCCATTGCATTCTTGGGATCACAAGGCCTTGCTTCATAATCAATGAGGTTGTTTTTGAGAGTGTTATACTGAGCCTTGACTAGCACACTGAGCAAGCATATTTTTCAAAAATTTTCATGAAGAAAAAGATGAGGCTGTGTAATCCCATGTTTCGACTACGGTGCTGGTGTAATGCCGATGCTGTAACGGTAAGCAAACATTTATGGAAACGTAATTAACAGCTCGCTAATTTTGACTTTTATCATTTCCCTTGGTGATCTACCCAGTATTCGTCTCAAACTCTTCGATGTGTGCCAAGGAAGAAAGGGAATGTGGGACAGTCTGTTTTCAGAAGAACAACAGCAGGTATTGACACTGCGCCTACGTGATCAGTAAAGAAACCTCGAAGTGTCCAGTTGCGATTTGTCATCGTCACGCCACCTCCCAACTTACTACATGAGAAATCAGGATTCAGAGCTAGTTTTCCAACGAACGAAGTCGCTTTGATACACCATTTAAGGTTAGCGACTATGGTTTAAAAGCGAGCATGCATGACTTGTCTCACCCCGAAGATGAACGCCCATGATGGACGTCTAGGTTACAAGGACAGAAACCCTCGCTGTGCCACACGAACGATACAGACGAGTGTGGGAAGAGCCGATCTTGTCCATCAAATGCTGAATCCTGAAAAGCGTCTATGCCGCCGGATTCTAGGGTACCCGGTTAGTACTTGTCTCTGGGCTGACAACCTGAAGCCAGTTCAATCTTTGAAACTAAGGAAAAGGTGCTTCGCTTACGTCGTCCATGAAGCGTACAAAGTGAACAGCAAGACGGCACTCCTCAACATAATCAGAGGAACCCAATATATCAAGCGCGGTTGTCTCCCTAATGGCTTGCTCCGATAGTAATGAGGGAAATTTGAAAGCATGAACTGTGCTTCACCTTCAATGACGCTAAAATATGATGCGGGAACCCGACTATCATAGACTTTCGTAAAAACCGTTTTCTCCAAACTAGAAAGTGTTTCTTATCTGTTTCCGTTATAATTTTATTTGGATGAGGTTTGTTAGAAAGATGTTAGTAACAGTCGGACAACATGCTTTTATTCTGACGGAAAAGATGTGGTAAACTTATTGTATTTCCAAATCAAAACCCTGTCACCATACTCCTTCTGACGAAGAAATTATCAAGCCTATTGTTGTTTAACTATACAGTCTGCCGATCTGTTGATCGGCTGATTGTGCAGTGTTATTCCCTCAAGACTCCAGGCCTGTGTTGTGTGCCTCGGACTGGTGACATTTCTAGTTGAGTCCGACCCCCATTCATCTCAGTTGTTCCTATACCACTGAAGGGGACTGTAGGTTAGAAATTACATGAGTGAAGGTTACTCACACGACTTATTGGGCTGACAGGAGAATTTAAATTATCATTCACTAACCCAATGAAAAACTTGCTCCACCTTTTGAGCCGGCTTTAAAAGGGACGGACCATTGTCTGAAAGTAACCACCACTCATAGCAGACCACCCTAAACGGGAGATTCAGCTGGATTCATTTGAGTCTCCTTTGACATCCAACGTCGTGTGCAAATGAGTGTCTGAGGGATGGGCCGTGACCTGTCTATCCAGACTACCTATGGCTAATGTCTTTTGTGGGTGGACTTTTTAAAGAAGAATAAGTAGACGATCATCGGGAAACGTTGGCACGGTAAGCCTTTGATAGGTCTGCAGACAAAACCTGGCGTTTCCCTTTTACGAAATTTTAATCTCAAAAGACAAACAGTTAGACGCACGCAACTAAACTTGTTGATCGGTGAAGTCAACCCGTCATCAATGCAATCGTTAATGTTGTTTTTTTTTGGGAACAAATCGAAGACTCAGTAGCGAATGACGCGTCACATTTCTAAGTATACATGCTTCTTGTGAATATGTTCCGGTATTTTCCACAAGATGTTTCTACAGAAATATCGATAATTTCCGACAAAAGACATTAGTAAACTTGCAAAAGATACTTACTTGGCTTCAAGTGGTGCGACCACCAATGGCCTCAAACCGCAGTCACAATGCCATCGGTTGTTCGCTAACTTTATTTCACTGAACGTTATATCCGCTATGCGTTTGGCGACTTCACTCCAGGGCAGAGTTGTCAACTGATTGGATGATAGGTCCAACTTGATCACATGCCTCAGTACAGTTACAAAATTCGGTGGAAGCTCAGCGAGACTGGTTCGAACCAGGCTCACCTGATCCAACTGGGATAACTTGGCCAAATAGGACACGTCTTGCAGCACAGGATCACTCACGTACAGTGTATGAAGCACGCTTTCCAGACCACCCAGTGTTCCTGAATCTAAGTGCAGAGTCCCATTCACAGCGCTGAGTGTTAGGTGACTCAATTTATTGTTGGATAGTCGAGCAAAGAATCGAGGTTGAATATTGGTAATTCGTGACTTGGAAACTTGCAAACTCTTCACCGTGTAGTTTCCGTACCCTTCAGGAATGTCCGTACTCAGTTCACCATCGTATTGGGTTATCATCACATGTGATAACTGACCGGCTTTAACAAGGTGCGTCAGTCTAGGCACCGCACGTGTGCAAGCAATAAAGGAAGGGTGGGCTTGGCAGTCGGACTTGACTGACACGAGCACAGAGCTCAGATAGATTAGAAAAAGAACCCATTCTAACCGGCACCGGTGAGGTTCCCAATATCCTGTAGACATGGTATCTCTGGGTTCTGGCTACAGTGAACTCACAAGCTTAATCAGTGCGATCACACGCACTTTTGCGACGAGAAATTCCCAAGTTCTTGTCACAAAACACGCGAAAATTTCAGGTCCTATGGCACTGCCGGGGCTGTGACAAGTAAGCACCACTGAGGGAGCGACACGTGCACACTGGCTTTTCTCAAGCGCCTGCCCTCTGTGCTTTATTCTGGAATCTAACCAGCGAATGCGGGAGCTGCGTGGAACGGTAAAAAAAGCCAACTTTGGTTCAGCCAATCAGAGCACAGCCAGCGAAAAGCTCGCCAAAGACGAACAGGTGCGCGCGCATATACACACAACGTACACCAACAAACGGCTTTACCGGTATTCACACAACCAACAATAGGACCTATTGTTTGATGGTAGCTTACCAAGGTGCATGAGTGAAACTGTGTCGCGCCATTTGTACGCTTGTGCATATGTTTATCTACATTGCTCAGCAGTTGTCGTGTGGTTGTCGTATTCCTGATGGCTGAGCAAAACTCAGCTCGGCTCTTCGACAGATCTCTGCATTTGATATATCAACCATACTGACCGGAAGTCCGCTACTTACCCTTAGTGACAATTCTCTGAAACTCAGTAGTCTATGCAAACCTGTGATCTTCTGACTAGAGGTCTCTGATCTCACAGCTAACCTATCTGGAGTTCTCAATTATTCAATGGAATTTTGTGTACCCCATCACACTGAGGACCGATTAGAAAATCATCACACCAGGTTTTCAGTGAGGATAGTATGTTAGAGAAACCCGGGCGTTTGAAGATTACACATATGTTAACGAGGGACCTAACCCAATCCCCTGCTTGTCATATTTGTCAACTGAATTAATCCACAGACTGTCTCATTTTTCAGTTGGCAGAATATTCAGATATGGATGTGTATTTTCGTGATGTTAGACACTAATTTTAAGGATACTGGAAAGGTTGGTTTCACCCATCGCTTTAGTGGTTCGTTAACGCAAAGGTAATTTGAAAGTGAAGTGAATGTATTGGATCATTTGGTGTGGAGTTTCAGGATAAGGGCCCCAAAGAAAGATCAGGCTGACGGTGGATTATCGGACAGTCTTTCACAACTTTATTATCAGTCAGAGGAGCGCCTTGTTATAGTGGGAGTAATTATTGAGAATATAAACATGAGCACGAATAAATATAGCTATTAATTACTCCAGGCATTATGTGTTTTCTAACCTGGCCTCTTTTCATGCACCTGTGAAATAAAGAGGAACAAGAGTACTTTTTTAGTTTTGCCACTATCCTCTGACCTACCATGCCAACAGAACAGTTAAAATCTATCTCACGTAATTATCGCCGAAACCATAGGAGGTTGTTTATGAAATTGCAGTGTTACTGGTCAAGAACCGAATCAGATTCTGAAGCATCATATATGGGGGTGAACCTGAAAGGTTATGGTCGTATCCATATGCCGCTTGTTTGTTCACATGGTATGAAACAGCCAGGACAGCTGCAACATTTTGATAGTGCTGCAGGCTTTTTGACAATAAACTTTCAAGTTTGATAGAAAAAGGTCCACAATTAAATGTGTGTTGACCAAGCTGACGTGCGTCAGAACTGAGACTGGTATGCTATATTTAGATGTACCAGTGCAATTTTGGCCTACCAACTACAAACCTGAGGTACACTCACGTCACTTGCACTTGAAGAACTTTCCCCCTATCTTGGTAGGATGATTCATGTCAAAGCAAAGTGGTGCTGGTTTCGGGCTCGCATCACATCCCTGACCTTGTCAGTGTTCGAACCCGGGAACATCTGATGAGAACCGTTGAAGTGAATGTGATGTGAGCAACGTCAAAATAGACTACTAAAGGAAAAAATGCATTGTCTTTTCCCTATGGCCTATTTTAAATGGTAATAATGCATCGTGCGACGTCCCAAGAATTCTTATGCGTTCATCAGACTGGGTGTAAATTTTGCCTATTTGGCAGTGGTTATCTTAAGGAAGAACGCTGTTTTTAAGTTTGTGAGGATGAGTTCATGCTTCTGTAATGAACACGGGTTATCAAAATCTTGATGGCAACTTACTGCCAGTTTTGCTTTTCTTAGGAGTCACTAATTTCGGCCACAGAATCAAGGCGTGAGGCAGAATGGCGGAGATAATGCTGTTCTTAATGCATTAAATCAAGCTACTGTTCAAGTGAAAGGTGGATCATATTACAGTTTTATCACTACTACTGTAACGGTGATACTGCTGATGGGGGAGGCATGCGAGTAGTATGTTTTCTCGTACATCCGCTTTGCGCCTATTGAAACGCGAGATCTATTGCGGAATTTGTGGAGTCGCTTTGTAGCATTTGCTTGGATTTGAGCAACACTCAATGAACATCTAGGAAAGTTCGGGAAGAGGCGTTCAAGAGAAGGTGGATGTTCAGTTTTCGTAAACAAGATGTATATGAGAGTTTGCTTCCCTGTCCAATAGTCTGTAACTAATCGGTTGACATTTTCTAATAAATAGCTCCACAGTGAAGGCTTTCTTCCTTTCACTATTACTACTATTACGGTAATATGGTACTGTATTACGTCACTATGTACTCCCAAACAGGATAAAACTGTCAGTTGATCGCCTGCGGGTTTTGATCAATTTGTCCATATTACTTATCACAGAATACAGGTAAACTTACTTGAGCACCTGTGTAACCGAATCTCCAGGCAGCTTGTGTGCTGTTCAGTTAAACGGATGTACACCCATGTTCTACTCAATACGAGGTACCCAATCAGATCTCGTGTTCTTGGGATTCCACTATGTTTGCGAGTCCAATATAATACAGTGTACATTCGTTCATAAAAAATCTAAAATCACGACTGACCATTAAATCCAGAGCAGTATACGGTTTAACCTCGTCTTTCTGAATGCAGAGGATTAACCCAAATCTTCCAGGTAGTATAACTTCAAGAAAATTCATTTTTTGAAATGAAGCCATGAGTTCCACTAAGTGTTATTTGCCTAATAAATGCTTGGAGATCGATTATCTGACCCTGGATTTCATCAGAATTTCTTTCAAATCGAGAAGTAGACCCAAAATTGCGTAAAAATTTGGCAACTGTAAGCATTGATGTAGCCTCTCAATATCTTGAATTTTCTATTAAAATTACGGATTATCACGGTGAATTCCACCATTAGATGCATGACCAAAACAGTGGACTGCTTAAAGTGTGGGGGCTACCTCGCTTGATTCCCACCAGATCAACGAATATAAACGTAGCATCTTTTCAGTATTCAGCTCAAAACTCGGTTCGTTTTCAGGCTGGCAAATGAAGTGACAGATTTCGTTGCTCTGACCCAACCAAACCATTCATTTAAAAGTTATAACGTCTTCACCCACTATTGTGCACATGAGTTTGTTTTGAATTCGTGTGGGGATTTTAACCACTGTCTGACTATACATCTACCCGACCGCCACGCCTTACTGTTATGCTGAACAAGGTCACTGAAGCATAACAACAAAGATTCAACGTATATCTTGATCTAGCGTAACATTCTGGGTTGTCCTTAGCTTTTTAATCGTGCATTATTACTGAAACTCCATCCTTAGGACCGTAGCACTTCAACAGAAAGGCGTACGAGCGAAATAAGGTTGGGCAATCAGCCTTTCCTGGGTGAGAGTGTCCCCGTCGATTTTCCGAGAAACGGTGTGGTAGAACATAATGAAGCAACTTATTTGACATTGTCCATCTATCTTTCTATCCGCAGATGACGCAGGCCCATTTTCTGTAACATCTGAAAGGATTTTCTACCGTCTTCCGTTGGAACTACTCTACATCCGTACCATATTATTACGGTGGGTATTGTGAAATATCGGTGTCAGTATAGATTAGAACTTGACGGAACCAGAGTTTATTGTAAGGAAAATGTAGGTGAATAAGTTTTGTGTATCTTCTCAAAGCATCTACGGGAACTTATGAAAGTCCACCTTAGTTTNGACAGACTAAGCCCCCCCTAGACAGCATATGGTTTTGAAACAGTCGGTGCAACGGTGGACCTGATGGGGGAGGCATGCGAGTAGTATGTTTTCTCGTACATCCGCTTTGCGCCTATTGAAACGCGAGATCTATTGCGGAATTGTGGAGTCGGCTTTGTAGCATTTGCTTGGATTTGAGCAACACTCAATGAACATCTAGGAAAGTTCGGGAAGAGGCGTTCAAGAGAAGGTGGATGTTCAGTTTTCGTAAACAAGATGTATATGAGAGTTTGCTTCCCTGTCCAATAGTCTGTAACTAATCGGTTGACATTTTCTAATAAATAGCTCCACAGTGAAGGCTTTCTTCCTTTCACTATTACTACTATTACGGTAATATGGTACTGTATTACGTCACTATGTACTCCCAAACAGGATAAAACTGTCAGTTGATCGCCTGCGGGTTTTGATCAATTTGTCCATATTACTTATCACAGAATACAGGTAAACTTACTTGAGCACCTGTGTAACCGAATCTCCAGGCAGCTTGTGTGCTGTTCAGTTAAACGGATGTACACCCATGTTCTACTCAATACGAGGTACCCAATCAGATCTCGTGTTCTTGGGATTCCACTATGTTTGCGAGTCCAATATAATACAGTGTACATTCGTTCATAAAAAATCTAAAATCACGACTGACCATTAAATCCAGAGCAGTATACGGTTTAACCTCGTCTTTCTGAATGCAGAGGATTAACCCAAATCTTCCAGGTAGTATAACTTCAAGAAAATTCATTTTTTGAAATGAAGCCATGAGTTCCACTAAGTGTTATTTGCCTAATAAATGCTTGGAGATCGATTATCTGACCCTGGATTTCATCAGAATTTCTTTCAAATCGAGAAGTAGACCCAAAATTGCGTAAAAATTTGGCAACTGTAAGCATTGATGTAGCCTCTCAATATCTTGAATTTTCTATTAAAATTACGGATTATCACGGTGAATTCCACCATTAGATGCATGACCAAAACAGTGGACTGCTTAAAGTGTGGGGGCTACCTCGCTTGATTCCCACCAGATCAACGAATATAAACGTAGCATCTTTTCAGTATTCAGCTCAAAACTCGGTTCGTTTTCAGGCTGGCAAATGAAGTGACAGATTTCGTTGCTCTGACCCAACCAAACCATTCATTTAAAAGTTATAACGTCTTCACCCACTATTGTGCACATGAGTTTGTTTTGAATTCGTGTGGGGATTTTAAC